GTTGTAAACATTAGAGTTTTTCGTTAACAGTATTTGTTACAATAAACATTGCGCGAACAAGAAATAAAACACGATAAACCGTTTATGAAATTACAACCGTTAAAACAATTTCATCTGACCCATGCATCATCAACATTACGTCGCTGTCTGTTTTGACTTCCTCTAACCAAAAATTTGGTCTTCCTGTCGCAAGGGAGGTTGTTGTTCGTCTTCGTTGGATCCTTCTAATTTGTTCCCCCTCTTCGATGTCTCCCTCTAGCCGTTGCACCAACTCCCTCTTCAGACGCTCCATGGAGTGAATGTGCCAGAATTTCATTTTCATCAGAGGTTTTGTGACGGAGAAAATAACGTAACCATCTCTGGTAAAAATCATGGGCGATGTCATGACGCAAATAACAGAGTAAAAAATAAGAGAACAGTGCGAGAAAGTGTGAGGAATGACGGAGAAACAGACGAATTATTTATAAAAATAGCATTTTGTCCTAGCAGCCAAGTGAGATGGCGCCTCCTCTCACTTTTAAAGTGCATGCGCCATCTCACTTGGCTAAAAGAGAGAGGAGGCGCCAAGTGGGATGGCGCCTGGGGCAAATTGGGGAGTGGATGCGCCAACTGGGTTGGCTCCTCCCTTATGGGGTTTTCTGAAATATGGTTATTTGCGTAATTTTTTCTGAAACATGGTTATTTGCGGGAAAAAAAATTTAATACCTGATTATTCCAAAAAACATTCTATTTTTCTCTCTTCGATTCCCTATTTTTTAAACAATAAATTATGGTTATAATGATCTCAAATAAATGAAATAATTAGGGTTTAAATTTAACAGATCCGTCAAAATATTAAAATGATTAAACTATTATATTTAATTAGTGAATCAAATCATGTTATACAAATATTTTTAGAATAATGGAAACAAACTAAAATCAAAGCAAATTGAAACTGAAAATTAAAAAAAAAAAAATACTAAGAATAAATTTTAATTTTTATATAAATTTTTTTGAAAAATAATTTAATTCTTTAATAAATAGTTGACTTTAAAAAAAGTTATCTTCTAATAATTTGATACGATTTAAAATTTTAAGCAAATCAATAATTTTAATTTAATTTAATTTTAAATTAATTAAAACAGTTCGATTTAATTTAAATAAATTTTTATTATAATTTAATTCGATTTTCATACAATTAACGACCATTAAAAAAAAACAAGAAGTTAAGAAAGGTGGATTCAACATGTTAAGATTGGAACTACCTAAAATGATCTCTTTAGACAAAGTGAGCGACATTTGCGGCTAAAAGAGAAACCAACAAGCCATCATGTAACCATTTACGTATGCCCACCCTAACCTGAAATCAAGCATCAAACAACCCTTGCTTTCTACTAACTTTCCAATTGGCCCACATCCACAATCTTTTCACTATTTTGGTAAGAAAATAAAATAAAATAATTATGCAAGCTATCGAAATTAAACTTTTAGACTTTAAAATTTTAACCTTAAAATAATATTTGATTATAAATATATTATACGTTAATAAATATTTGATTAGCTTAGTTGATTAAGATGTGGACCTTATATTTTTTGTTTTTACAATTTTTTTTAATATATTAAAATTTGAGATGGTTCTGCTTTAGCTAACAAGATAATACAACGATAAATAAATATTGATTTTATCGGAATTAGAAAGATCATCTATAATCTGTAATGTTTTGATTTTTGTGGTTGTTGAAGTGAACGAGGAGATACTTGTAAGACACTCGATGTCAAAGTAAGATTTAGAGCGAGAATGCAAATATAGAGTTAGAGCGAGTAGAATAATGTGTACATGATCCTCTAGTGAAAAAGGATATTTATAGTCCTCGATGCTGGGCCAAGGTCCTCATTTGAGCTGAATGCCCAGACTCATAATGGTGACTTTTCAGGATCCTACGTGGGTAGAGGAGACCAGTTCATGGTCTATATCCAGGTTCAATTGCCCAGTGATTCTCAGAAGATGGAAGACTCATTCTTTATGGGAGCAAGATGACTCTGATATTCGGAGGATTGTTGGCCACGTATTTTTGATGGGCACGTGGAGGAGACATCCTCGACGAGCACGTGACATAGACGTTCTCGACGAGCACATGGAAGAGACGTCCCTGACGGACACGTGTGGGAGACGTTCCCTAGCAATCATATCTAATTTGGACTACTATAGCAGACCTTCCTCACAGTAGCCCTGGACTGACCTTGCCTGATGGAGGACCAAGTGCAGGTCCAATCCACAACAAATTGTTGGGTCTTTCTTACTGTAGAGTTGGACTGGACCTTGCCTGATAGTAGACCTAGCGCAGACCTAGTCTAGAACAAATATTCTAACATAAAATTTTTAATATACACTATTCTAACACAAAGTCACACATATACGATAATCACTAATTTTCAAATCAAAGTATTTGTAGATACACTTTCAAAATCAAACAAAACTAAAAGATTTTTGCAGAGTTCGTCGTTAAATCTATGTTACCAGCAACACTTGAAGAAGACGGTTCATTCTACATCAATAGATTTTTTTTCAAAAGAAAATTCTAAAAGCTTATCGGAATATGCATTTTCATCTTCATACATGAAAAGACCACATTCTTTTTTTTAGAGATTAAGCAAGCAAGAGCAAAATCATTATGACTTATGTCAAGTTGAAGATGTCCTAACTAAATTGTTAAAGATTGAAAAATTTAAGAAAATGAAAAAGATGTTTGATGTAGTTAGTGTGGAGACTTTGAATGAAGAAATACGGTTGATACTAATTCAAATAAAGGATTTAAGTGAGTTACTCAGTGTGTAAGTAATTAGTTAGGTTATTTGTTGTGCAAATAACTAATTAGCTTATTATGATGTTTTGGACTTATTTGTGACTTGTAATTCCTACTATAAATGTGTATAAGTGATCACTTTTTTTAAAGAAGCAAAACAAGAAAATTAAATAAAAGACTCTAAACCTAGCACAAAGTATGGTAGACTTGAACCAAAATAAGTTCACAACTCTGCTATAACAAAGCAAGGGCATGTACCCCTCCATCCTATAGCATTCAATCAATCAACATATGAGTTATCTATATTTTAATGTTCAAATAACTTAACTTTTATTGCCGTCCATGTTTGAATTGATATTGCCTTGCACATTGTCACATTCTAATTTTTTATTTATGATTAAATATTTGATTATTCAAAATAAATAATAAAAAATTAGTTTCTGTAATATGAAACTACCAAAAAGAATCCAATACTTTTTATTTCATTTTTTTATTATCATAAAATTTACTTCTTCATTAAAAAAAGCTAAATATTCACTTTTGCAAATAAATAAAAAATATTTCAGATTTTCCATTAACAAATCTAATGGTTCTTGTCATGAAAATAAAAATAAGAGTTAATAATTATTTATCTCTATTATATAGGCGTTTTTTAAAAGTCTCCTTCAAAAAAAGTTATATAAATTTCTCTAACATTTAAAAATTCTCTAATAAATATATTAAATATTAAAAATTTTATAGAGTTGAATCCACACCCTTATTATTAAAAGGATAGCCCTTATCCACTTGACAAGTTGTATACTTATATTATGTTAATGAACTTAAATATTCTTATAATATGCAAAACCTTCTACATTATTATTTTCAATATATTATTATTTTTATTTACATAATCAAATATTATTTAAATATATTTATTAAATTATTTTAAAAAATTAATATTTAATTACTATAATTTAATTTGATTAATATTTATTATTTAATAAACTTAAAAATTAAAATAACTTAAATTTAAAATTTATTTTTGGTTACAACTTATTTATTTATTTATAATTAAAAGTAATAATACATCTAATATGTTTATTAAAATTTGTTTATATGTGAAAGTAATAATATATTGGAAATGTAAATAAAAATAACAAACGTATATTATAAAAATCATTCAATCCATTATAATTTTTGTGCCGGCGGCATAAGTGGAAGTAAATACATTATTCATTCATTAGTTTAATTATAATTTAGACTTTTCCTTTTACTGTTTTATGCTTGATTGCCAATTGTCAAATCTCATCATCCATTGTCAGTTGTCTTTTTTCTTTCAAATAAAATGCTGTATCAGAAACAATGGCCAGTTTTTTTATTCTTCACTCCTTAATCTTACATATAAGGCCAAAAACTTAAGAAAATATGTTTCCATGAAAATGCAAATTTATTTATTTCACTTTTCCTTACTCTTGTAAAAGACACTTTTTTTTTTTGAACATTTGAAAAAGAAACTAAAACTGTACATTATCAAAGATTAACAAACAAAAAAAATACAGTTCTATATATAGGATAGAATCATGCTTTACATATAACAAATTAATTTTAAAAAGGGAATATTCAAATTATACAACTGATGAGAGGAAAGTTCTATTTATCTTCTGATTTATGATGTTGGGAGATTTTTTAAGTCATTTGAATTTATTTCAGAGTTAAATTTAGTATTTTATTATTTTGGTATTTTGTTTTTTTATTTATTATGTTTTTGATTAAAAATTTATTAAGAATTTTTCTCTATTTTATTTATGTTTTAGATTAAAAATCTATTAGAGTTTCTTTATTTTCTGTATTTAAATTTTTTTTGAATTTATTTTAGAGTTAAATTTAGTATTTTATTATTTTCGCATTTTGTTTTATTTAATCATGTTTTTTGATTAAAAATTTATTAAGTTTTTTTTTTCTCTATTTTATTTATGTTTTGGATTAAAAGTCTATTAGAGTTTCTTTGTTTTCTTTATTTAAAATTTTTTAGTGAGATCATTAGAATCATCTTTCATTATAATAAATTCAAAATTTTCTTCTTTATAGTGCATTCCAACTTTATTTGACAAGTTTGTCGCTTGTAAATTTGTGTTTTATTCTAGGTTTAGCGCTTGTTATTTCTTTCGTGTTTTCGAGTGCGTCAGTTGGCATCATAGCAGATTTTTATGTTGTTCTTTTTGTAGATTGACAAACATGACGAATCAACCAATGACTAGAGCAGATATTCAGGGTATTGTCATTGCTTTTACCACGACCCTAACTACTTTGATTGAAGAGATGACGACTTTAACAACTCAGGTGAACAACGCCAACAACAACGGGAACCAATAAAGAGACATGAGAAGGGAACCGATTAGGATTCCACAGGATATAAACAATCTTTTGTTATTGTTGCAAATTCGAGTTCTGAAGAAGAAGAACCCTACGAGGAAGAGGTAGTTGATCATGAGAATCAACATAACCATGATTATCGAGTGAAGGTTGATATTCCATTATTCTATGGAACGATGGGCGTGGAGGAGTTTCTGAATTGGAAGATCGATGTCGACGGGTTCTTCGATGTTATGGATATCTCTGAGAACAAGCAAGTTAAGATGGTGACGATCAGGTTGAACAATATTGCTTCTTTCTGGTGGGATAAACTTGTTGTTCAGAGACAGAGACAAAAAAATGGTCGGTCATATCTTGACAAAGAATGAAACAATTGATGCTAGAGCGGTTTTTACCGGAGGATTATGACCATATTCTTTATAATATGTATATTGAGTGTGCTCAGGGAAAAAGAACTGTAACATAATACATAACTAAGTTCCTACGTTTTTTTCTAAGCACAGTGAATTAGGAGAATCAGATTGCCAAAAAGTTGCTCGATACATTAATGGCTTAAAGGGATTCTTACAGGAGAAAATGGGTTTACAGACTGTATGGACCGTAGCTGAGGCATCTTGCCTAACTTTGAAGGCATAATTAATGGATAAATCCCCTCAAAATTTCTCATCTTTTAGATATTCGCCCCAAAATAACTTTGAATCAGCAGACGATAAGGAAAATAGTGCAACAACCAGAGATTCTAACCCTGAGAATAATGGAACTAGCATTCCTAGCGGCGTGTAGTAGGGTAAATCATCAGTCCAAAGTTAGAATAATTCATATACTAAACCCATTGGTAACACTTGTTATTGTTGTAACAGAAAAAGTCATAGATCAAATGTTTGTCTAACAAGGAGAGTCGTTGTTGTTGCAGAAGAAAAGAAAGAGTGAGAGGAAAGGGAAGGATATGCAGTTGAGAATAATGAATATGCAAGGGTTGAGTTTGCAGATAAAGAATATGATGAGAGGGTAAATTTTATGTTACAGAGAATTTTACTAGCATCCAAAGATGAAGGGAAACATAAGAATTTTTTTTAAATGCAATGTTCTATCAAGAACAATGTTTGTAATATGATTATGGATAGTGGCAACATGGAGAATCCAGTGTCATTGAAATTGGTAGTTTATTTGAAGTTGTCCACAGAACCTCATGAGAAGTCATACACTATCGGTTGGGTAAGCAAGGGCTCCTAAGTTAGAGGAACACTAGCCTGTAGAGTTCTTATCTCCATCGGAAAGCATTATAGAGAAGATGAATTTTGTGATGTTCTATATATGGATGTTTGTCATGTTTTACTTAGTAGACCTGGGATGTTTGATAATGATATCACTTATTGAGGATGAGATAACGTGATTACGTTTACTTGGGTCACGCATAAAATTTCTATGACTCCTATTTTGCACTTTGATAAGAATCTAAGAGGAAAGGAGTCTAGTTTCTTGGTGATGACACAAAGGGAAAAGGAGCTTAATGAGCCTTTTGAAGAAACTGAATTTTTCTGCCAAGAGGTGAGTTAAGGGATGATGAGTGTTGTAAAGGAGGAAACAACAATTTCAGAAGAAATTCTAGGGATCATAGAGAATTTCAAGGAATTGATCGCATATGAGCTACCGAATAGTTTGCCTCTTATGCGAGATAAACACTAGGAAGTTAAATCTTTTAAACTGGGAGACGAAAATAGATAAGGCTCTTTAATAAGAAGATAACTCGGGGTCGAGTTCTTCAGAGGTGAAGAAGACTGATGTAAGAAGGTTTTTTAAGTCATTCGAGTTTGTTTCAGGCTCAAATTATGTATTTTACTATTTTTGTATTTTATTTATTTAATTCTTTTTGGATTAAAAGTCCATTAGGATTTCTTTTTTATATTTTATTTATGTTTTGGATTAAAATCTCATTAGAGTTTCTTTGTTTTCTGTTTTTAAAGACCTTTGACATGACCATTATGATTATCTTCCATTATAATAAAATTCAAAGTTTTCTTCTTTCTGATGGATTCCAGCTTTACTTGACAAGTTTGTCGCTTGCAAACTTGTGTTTTGTTCTAGGTTTAACGCTTGTTATTTCTTTCGTGCTTCTGATTCGTCAATTCAATTGAGATGTAATATTCTAGTGTAGCACATCTTATATTTCTAAAACTATTCTTTCATTATAAGCCACAAGATCTTCTAAAGATTTAATGGCCATGATTGGATAATGTGGCTTCAATAGTCTTCCTCAAACTGAAGCACAATATATGTTTATCATACTAAGTTTGGAGATAAATAACTGGAACTTCGGTAGAGGAAAGACATTTGTAATGATATTTGCAAGTTATTTTGAGGATGGAATGAGGAGAAGCTTGAGGACATCTTTTTGTAATTTCTCACGAACCAAGTGGTTGTCAGTTGGTATATGACTAGATGATTTAGTTGAGCAAACCTTATTTGAAGTAATAGTTTTAGGATGTTAGTTAATTTTTTATAGTTGAATTATACTCATAAGCTTTTCACTTAATCGATCATGAGTCAAGGAAGGAAGAGATCCTATGTGGTTTGGAGTACCAAAAGAAGAATCGCCAGTACCAAATTCATTCCTTTCATGAGAAACTCCATGAGCAATATATGAGGTCGATCATTGCAAGTGAGGTGGTAGTCCATGTTTCATGTAGTAAGTTTCTACTGTATAAGCACTTCGATTTCAATATATATAAATACGAGGTTTGAAACTAGGATAAATTTTTTCAAATTTGGGGTTAAGATTTCATTACGTATAAATACGAGGTTTGAAACCTAGTTGAATTTTTTCAAAATTAGGGGTTAAAGTGTTTAGAATCAAAGGCATTGATGAGAATCTTAGAATCATTATAAAACATATTGATAGTTTATCTCTCATGTTCAAAAATCATGAATAAATTTCTTTAATGGAAGGTAAGGGATCAAGCAACAAAATATGGGATTTGACAACCCCAAAATGTTCCATCAAACTAGTCAAGAAACACATAGATTGGAATAATTGATGGTTAAGTCTATCAGTTTTTGTAGCTTCACAAACACACTTAACTCTAAAAGCGCATATGTGAATTAACATATAACCCGCCAATTCTTCCCAAATAATTCCGAGCTTAGATTATAATTTTGTTACCTTTCGTGGGTCTTGTTTTAGGGCATAAATTTCCTGCTAAAGCTCGGAAACGCGAACCACTTCTCCTTGAGAGAAACACTTCTTCTATACATGATAATGAGGCGGGTCGGGAACCCCAAATCTAAATATGAATTCTAAAACAATCCTCACTCGCTGTCCCAATCCCTATTGGAAATGGATAATTAAAACTCAAACTCGTTCCAAATGGGTTCGGATGTCGGGCCACCATCTATTTAGTGAACTCGTTTTTTTTAATAGAAATATTTAATTTTTCTAAAATTGAATTACATTACAAATAATAAAAGAAAACAATCTCAAAATATTTCATCAATACATTTTAAATATTTTAAATAATAAATACAAATCAAAATATCAATACATTAACCACATATTTAATATTCTAAATTATCAAAACTAAATAATAAAGTCAATTTTGAAATAAACGGGGCGGATTTGGTAGCAGATTCGAGGTGGATATTAGTATCTCCATTATCCGACTCATCCTCGTATTTTGTAATCGGAGAAAATTCAAACTCAAACTCAAACCTAGTCAAAAGCGGGTTTTTCTCGTCAAATTCGATGTGGGTTTGGGTGAGTACCCGCGAGTACGAGTTATGTTGTCATGCCTAACTCCTTCAAGTTAATATAGATATCGACAACATTCTCCATAAACAAATTGATTGTGCGACAGATATGTCAAGTGAGTTCATAATTCAGGAATGTATCGATTGAGAGCGTCTCAAGTGAGTTCATAATCTAGAAATGTAAGAGCATATATTACAACAATTCTATTCTCAAATAGAAGGATTAAAAGGGCCCGTTAACATCTGAATAGGGTCATCATGAAATTCAAATTTCATTTTGACATCCAGAACACGACCCACAAATCTCACCCATGAAATAATTCGAACCACTAAGAATTGAAATAATGAAGAACCGTTACTAGAGTGGATATGATAAAAAAACATGAATTACATTTTTTTAATACATTTTTTAAAATAAACCGACCTAGAAGTTTATAACACTTTTCGAGTGACTAAACTCTTAAACAAAATTTCCATTGAACTAACCTTTATTAAATAAATATTTTATTTTATTTTATTAATACTATTAGTTGAAACTCCACTGCCAAAAACAATGTGCATACCACCATTGATTCTTTGATTTTAATTTTCTTACTAATCAAGATTAATTCCCATGTTGATTAATACTATTAGTAGAAACTCCACCACCAAAAACAATGTCCATATCACCATAGATTCTTTGATTTTAATTTTTTTACTAATCAAGATTAATTCCTACTCAAAAAGGAAAAACACTTATAAATTTGTCTCTTTATTTATAAAATGAAATGATCGTATTACTTAATTAATCGGAAAATGAAATCTGAAAATGATTTATCAACATGAATTACAACATAAGAAAGTACTCCATATCCTAATATAAATTTGAAATTCGAAATAGAAATTAAATTTTCTTTTTCTATGTTTTGAGGGTGCACATATTTCATTTTCTTTTGTATTCTTATACATTGTCTCCTATAATATGTCCAAATAGTATTGCTAAATTAAAAACTTTAAGATAAAAAACACAGTATAACTAGCTGGCAGCAGCTGCACAATCTTCTACATCAGCTGTACCGTGCAGGCGGAGAACCACAACTAAAAAATTCAAATCATGATCGCCTGCCGTCTCAGATCATGTGATAACTAATCTCAATCGTTAGATTATTCATATCACACCGTCACTTTCAACTATAATAATATAAAATAGTTTTACATTATCTATTATAGAAAAATTCATAACTCAACTATATCTTTAATGGAAAAAACATTCACTTGATTTAGGTAAAACTATTTTATTTATATATATTTATATGTTAGAATATGTTCATGTTTCAATAGGTTGAATTTAACAATTTCTCAAATTCTACATTGTTAGAATATTTTTTTAGTTAAAAAAATTATTTAGTCTCATATTGTTCATGTGAGAAATATTAATTAGCTTACTTCACTATGTAAAGAGTGCACATGTTTCATTCTAAATTACACCAAAAATTATTCTATTAGTTTTTCCTTCCTCACTCTCATAATTTTGCGTTTCTCGAATTGTCGAAGCGCCATCTTCTTCCCTTTTCTTCCTACTCGTTGAATTTTTTGAATATTTTCTTGAATTCTCTTTGAGAATTATGTTAATTTCTCCTCATTTGAGTTGAGAAATTTTCAAGTTTAATTTTTTGGATTCTCTTTAGAGAATTATTTGAATTTCTCTTTGTTGGAGAAATTATTATGAGTGGTCAAATGACCATTATTAATTTCTCTTTGAAGAATTATTTGAATTTCTTTTTGTTTGAGAAATTATTATGACTGGTCTTTGTACCAGATACTACGAGTGGTGTTGATACCATATTTGAATGGTCTTGTACTATCAAAGGGTGTATTACTAGACCGATTATCTACCATGCAAGAAGTAATTGTACAATATAGAACTGAGTTGTTTTATCCAGGAGACGGCACGGTAGTTCGACTGCTTTGCATAATTTTGAGCAGTGCTGCGAAACGTCTTAAAGAGAGCGACCTAGTCCGCGACTCAACCTGGTAATTTCTTCGGTGGCAAATATTTCAAAACCCAAAAATATCGGTACTGCCATGGTTACTGAGGAAATTATCGGTACTACTGCAGCCAATTTTGTCTCTAACATACCATTTAAGTTTGAGGGTTCCTATTTCAAACGTTGACAAGCTAAGATAAAAATTTTCTTAACTTTAAATAAGATTGCCCATGTTTTGACTGAGGATATCCCTATTGCTCCTTCTGGATCAAATGAACTAAGTAATGGTAAGATAATTGTGAAATCAGACAGGACTTCTAAAATGTCTGACTTAGACTCTGGTGCTAAAGCTGCGGCAAATAACTTACAGCTCATAAAAGAAATCGCCCTATGGCAAGAGAATGACTACCTATGCAAAAATCACTTTCTGAACAGTCTTGCTGATGATCTCTATGATTACTACAGTAATTACAAGACTGCTAAACAGGTATGGAAGGCTCTGCAGAAGAAATATGATACTGAAGAAGCAGGTGCAAAGAAGTATGTTGTTAGCCGCTACTTCAAGTATCAAATGCAAAGATGTAATGTCGATGGAGGCTCAACGTTATGAACTTCAAAAGATTGCTTAAAAGATCATCACAAAAGGTATGTGTTTAAATGAACAATTTCAAATTAGTTTTATTATTGATAAACTACCCCATAGTTTAAATGTTTAAAAAATGAATCTTAGAGACAATGTCAAAAAGAAAAAATCTTGGTTGTTTCAAACAACAAAAAGAAATTTGGTGTAGTTCTGAAGCCATTTGGAAAATGATTAAAGAATCAGAACCGCAATATTATGAACCAAATTAAGAATGGAAACCCTTCTATAATCCCAATAGCTCCAACTAGGCAACAACCACCACCAAAAAAGAAATGACGTTGATTTCCCTTTATTTTAACTATGGAAAATCAAGTCATATGACTAAGAAATGTAGAAGTAAGCTTGAACTTTGTGTTGTCCCTAATGCACAGGTCAACCTGACTAGTGGGTAATTTATTGCTATAGTCATTGAAATCAACATGGTTAATGGATATGTTGGTTGGTAGATAGACACCTGCGTCTCTCGTTGTGTCTGTTATGATCGTGTTATGTTTAAAACATACACGAATACTAAAAATAAAAAAGTGTTGTTGATAGATGGCCAGACCACGAATGTTGCTGAAATTGTAGACATGGAACTAAATTTCACCTTCAAAAGACTTTAATCTTAAAGAGAGTTATGCGTATTTCTAAGATTAGAAAGAATATTGTTTCTGGTTTTCTTTTAAATAAGACAGGATTTAATCAGTCTATTGGGGTAGATTTGTACACCATTACGAAGAATGAAGTTTATATGTTTACAATTTTTGTAAAGAATTTGAAAATGATATAATAAGAATTTGTAGTGATAGAGAAACTGTATGATTCTAGTTTATTAATGAATTTTATACATGGAATTGTACATGAAATGACTGCACCACACTATCTTGCAATGAATAGTAAAGAAGAAAGAAATAATAGACCTCTTACTGAACTTGTTGCAATTATGTTGAATTCTAGTGTTGCACCTCACTAGTGAGGAAATTTTATTGATTGTTTGCTATGTCCTGAATCGAGTTTCCAAGTAAAAAGTAAGATCTCACCTTATGAGATATTAAAGAAAATACAACCAAACTTGTCTTATTTAAGAACTTGAGGCTATTTGGATTATGTCAGAATTTCAGATACGAAGCGAGTAAAACTCGCTAGTAGAGTCTATGAATGTGTATTCATTGGCTATGCAGCAAATAATAAGGCATATAGGTTTTAAGACCTAAATACTAAAGTGATCATAGAATCAAATGATGTTGAATTATATAAAGATAAATTTCTTTTCAAATCGAGAAATAGTGGGGGCACTGAATCTAATCACATTCTTGTGATAAAAAAAAGCAACAACGAAGTAGAAAATGAACTTCAACGAAGTAAAAGGGTAAGAGTTGCTAAATACTATGAGCCTGATTATGCGGCTTATAATGTAGAAGAAGATCCAATGAATCTTCAAGAAGCCTTGTCATCTCTGGATGCTGATTTATGGCAAGAAGCTATTAATGATAAGATAGAATCTCTAGAATCTAACAAGACCTAGAACTTAGTAGACTTGCCTCCTGGTTACAAACCAATAGGTTGTAAATGAGTTTTGAAAAAGAAACTAAAACCTGATGGAGCTATTGATAAATACAAGGTTCTCCTTGTTGCCAAGGGTTTTAGACAAAGAGAAAATATAGATTTTTTCGACACCTTTTCTCCTGTCACTAGAATTACATCCATTAGGGTACTTATTTCAATATCTGCTATTTATAACTTAATAGTACACCAAATGGATGTTAAAACGGCTTTTTTAAATGGTGACTTAGAATAAGAAGTCTATATGGAACAACCAGAAGGATTTGTGATCTATGGACAAGAAAACAAGGTTTGTAAGTTAGATAAGTCTTTGTATGGACTAAAACAAGCTCCTAAGCAATGACATGAAAAGTTTGATAACTTAATGATATCAAATGGGTACAAAGTGAATGAAAGTGACAAATGCGTTTACTATAAATCTGAGAATCGCATATGCACTATCATATGTCTCTATGTAGACGATCTACTCATTTTTGGATCAAACATTCAGACCATTAATGATGTGAAATCACTATTGTGCAACAACTTTGATATGAAAGACCTCAGAGAAGAAAGTGTGATCCTTAATATGAGATATGAGCAAGGAATTTCTTTGGATAAATCACAATATGTGAACAATATCTTAAAGAAATATAATTACTTTGACAGTAAACCTGTGAGCACACCATATGATCCAAGCGTGAAGCTGTTTAAGAACACTGGTGAAAGTGTTAGACAAACAGAATATGTGAGCATCATTGGAAGTCTTAGGTATTCCATTGATTGTACTAAACCCGACATTGCATATGTCATGGGATTGTTGTGCAGGTTTACTAGTAGACCGAGTAATGAACATTGACAAGCTATTGAGCGAGTCATACGTATCTTAAAAGGACCATGAATCTCAGTTTACATTATCAGAGATTTCCTGTTGTACCTGAAGGATACAATTATGCAGATTAGAATACCTTATCAGATGATTCTAAAGTACCTAGTGGCTATGTATTCAACACAGCTAGTGGAGTTGTAACTTGGAAATCAAAGAAACATACTATCCTGAGAATATGGCATTAACGACTGCTAGTGAAGAAGCAAGTTGGTTAAGATGCTTGCTAACTGAGATTCCCTTATGAGAAAAACATATGTCGGTTGTGTTGATCCACTGCGATAGTACCACGACTATTTCAAAAATAGAGAACCGTTATTATAATGGTAAAAGACGCCAACTTAGAAGAAAGCACGACACTGTTAGAGATTGTATCTCTAAAGGAGCTGTAAGAGTGGATCATGTACACAGTGATGAAAATTTAGCAGATCCTTTGACAAAAGGATTAGCTAGAGAGAAAGTATATAATACATCATATAAGATGGGACTAATGTCTATAGGAAAATGAGTTACTCATGATGGTAATCCGACCTAAATTACTGGAGATCCCAAGAAATAGGTTCAATGGGTAACAACAAGTTGTGAGTAATATGACATGATCATGCAAGTAAAGCATGAATCCTAAAGTAACAAGAGGATGAGATGATAGAAACTCTTAATGAGATCTATACTTTGTATGAGGGAGTACCTAGGCTACAGGAGTACTCTTGATAGACTCACCTATGTGATTGTGGAACTTAGGCTGGTTCTTATGGAATTTCGAGGCAGAATTCCTAGAGTCTTCATTAAACTGGGATACACGTGCAAGACCATTAAAGCATGGACTATTAGAATACACCTTAAGAAAAAGTTGTGTGCGGATTTGATGTCTGAGATAGAGTTCAAGACATTTGTGTCACTCTTGTTGAATTGGAATCTTACTTGCTATGCAAAGGTTCAAGTCGTAGACACCTTTGTTTATGCACAATCTTGAAAATGTTTGACGTTACTTTTTAAATCAATTTTTTAAATTCAAGTGGGGGATTGTTTGAACATGTACATGTTCCAATATGTTGAATTAAAAAATTTCTCAAGTCCCACATTGTTAGAATATCTTTTTGGTTAAAAAAACCATTTAGTCTCACATTACTCATGTGAGAAATATTAACTAGCTTACTTCACTATATAAGAAGTGCACATGTTTCATTCCAAATTACACCAAAAACTATTCTATTAGTTTTTTCTTCCTCACTCTCATAACTCTGCGTTTCTCGATTTGTCGAAGCGCCATCTTCTTCCCCTTTCTTTCTATTCGTTGAATTTTTCGAGTATTTCTTGAATTCTCTTTGATTATACTTGGTCCACGTTCTCTAACGGATATGTGGGGAGTTGCCCAACAGTCCCTAATTTGAACTGCTTGTTTTTAGATCTTATACAAGAGTGTTGGGTTGAGCCTCCCGACAGGGAGACAACTACAAGTCCAGTCCATATCAATATTTATATATATCTTATATTTTCTCAATAAAAATATGCAATTATATACCATCCATTCATTCATTTTATTTTTATTTCACCTCAGAATTTATATATTCTATCACTAACAAACTAAATAACCATTTGCACTTTTCATTATTATTTTTCTCTCTCTTTTTGTTCCAAAAAATCACATGAATCAGCTCTTGTTTTTAATGGTTAGTTGGTTACAAATTCCAGAGAGACACCACCCTTTATATTACATATTATTCTCTCTATGACACCTCATTTTTCTTCCTCTCTAACTAACTTTTCCTCTTCATCTTCATCACTCATTTCTCTCTCATTACATAATCCTTCTCATCAATGCTACCTCATTCTTGATCCTGTTACAGAAAATTCTATTCATGTTAAAATGTTTGAAGGACTATTGAAGCCCAAAAACTATACAAAATGGTAAACACAAACAATGCTTTCATTCATTTTTCACCAACATGTTTCTATAATTTGATCTTCTCTTTTTTTTTTCTTTCTCGATTTTCATTATGAAAACAGCAAAACAAGCTTAAAATTAATCAAAACAAGGCTAGATACAATACGAAAGAAGCGAAACGCGGTTCAGAAATTTCTCAAGAAAGATCTCGCTGATCTTCTCAGAAATTCTCTTGATTACAATGCATATGGAAGGGTAATAATTTTTTATTCATTCTTTCTCACCTTTTTCTTTTTGGCCTCAATGATAGCGTAAGGACTAAGGAACAATAATTTTTTTTCTTCAATTATTTTTTTTTATTTGAAATTATCTCAAAAAGATTCCTATTGATCCAAATCTTGCATTGATATATATATAATGTATTCTATAAGCTGTTTTCAGCTTATTCATTAAGCTCTTTAGAATAGTCTATTATAAATGCTTATTTTGCTACTTTCATGCTAATAAAGTCTTGCATTTGAAAACAGGCTGAAGGGCTTTTGGTGGAGCAAAACATGTCAGCTTGCTATGAACTCATAGCGAAATTCGTTGGATGTGTATCGGGTCATGTTCGCAACATTTGTAAACTCGAGTATGATTTTCTTAATAATCATCAGCATGTACATAAGATTTTTCTTGTTCATTTTGTTTCACACTGATAAAAGAAAAATCTTCTTGCAATAGGGATTGCCCGGACGAATGCAAGGAAGCTATACCATCATTGATATATGCTGCTGCGAGGTTTTCTGATCTTCCAGAATTGCGCGAGTTGAGAACTTTTTTTACAGAAAAATATCGGAATTCTCTTGAGCCTTATGTAGATAAAGAGGTAAAGTAAACGAAGGAATGAGAAAAGTCTTATATATAAACGCGCGTTTTAGTTGTTTTAGTTAGTGATATAAGTTATTTTCGTTGTTTCAAGCAGTTTATGGAGAGATTGAAGCAAAATCCTCCTTCACAAGAAATGAAGATCCAACTATTGCATGAATTAGCACAAGAATTGTGTATAGATTGGGACATGAAGGCTTTGGAGCAAAGACTTTATTCACCTCCAATTTCGCGACAGGTAAATGAAGGTTTGGTTTTGTCAAAAATGGCGCGGGTTTGTGATGACTAATAGAAAGGAATGCTACTTTTTGTAGGAGAAGGAAAAGGCTAAAGATGATTATGATAATGATAAGATGAACCCGAAAATAGATGATGTATGGTGGAGTGTGCAAAGAAGCAGTGAGAGTGAAACAACTATGACTGATAGTTCATCATCACAGGATGAGCAAAAGGCTTGTTCAAGTTCATTAGAAAATGCATCCGACAAGGAAGAGAAAGCAGCAGAGATTAAGAAACCGTTTAGGTCGAAGTTCGCTCCACCTCCTCCTTATATCAGAGAGTATAAATTCGAAAGCGATTTGAAGAAAACATCGGAATCTGCGACTGCAGAAAAACCAAAAGCAAGATCAGTGAGAAGAAGGCCTCTTAAACCACCGCCGAATGAAAACACAGTTAAAGATTTTTCGAAAACAGGTGGTGGATTTGAAGAAAAGATGGTAGATGAACTTCTAATGCACTATAGTGAGAAACAAGGTCCTTATGAATATGGTAAGGTGCAAAATAAAAGGCCTGTAAAATGGATATCTCAAAAAGAAATAACTATGGTTGAAACATTACAAGGACGTGGAAGATCTGCTTCCTTAGTACCTGAGATGTTGAGAACAACAACAACAACAACAAAACATGTGCATCCTAGTTTACCTGAATATGAAGATTTGTCAGCACGTTTAGCAGCTCTCAGAAGAACATAATGATAAAGTATCATATGATTTTTTGGCTTGGTTATTCTTATTTGTTATTCATTTCAAATCTGTATATACTTGATTTCTATGTTTGTAAGATTTGAATCAGGGTATATCAATTGTATATACTTGATTTCTTTTATAGTAATGTTCAGATTCCGATCGATAAAATTAGATTTCAATGACTTGATGACCGGATTCCAAATATTCAGATTCCTTTGGTTACCTCCTACCATAACTCCCAAAAATTCAGAATTTAAAGCTTTTGAACAAACCTCCTCTTATGGCCTGCCTAACCATCCCCGCTATACCTTCTGCCACGATAGTAAACAAAAAGGGAGAAAGAGGATCGCCCTGACGAAGCCCTCTGCTAACTTGAAACTCATGTGTAGGATTACCATTGACTATGATAGACATATAACTAGTGAACACTATTGCATTCATCCACTTCAACTAACAGTCTCCAAAACCCATCCTCTTAAGCATATATCTTAGAAACTCCTAATCAACACACTCGTATGCTTGAGTAAAGTCTACTTTACATAAAAGAAAATTCCTCTTATTCCTCTTAGCATAATCTATAATTTCATTAGTAACCAAAATCCCATCCAAAATTTGTCTTTCTGGAACAAAGGCAGTCTGATTACTAGAAATCAATCTTCCCATTACCCTTCGCATTCTAACGCCTACAATACTCCATAAACGCCATTTATTCAAACAGTTGCGGGTGGTTCGGGGATGTATATCCCACGCCACACCCTTCCCTCTTCCTCTTCTTTTATTTTCTTAAAAGTTCTTAAAAAACTTATTGGAGCTCTACAACGATTTTGAAGGAAAATCGTGATTCAAAATGCAACGGAAATTAAATTTTTTCTTTAATGATCCTTATGAATGAGCATGGTCAATGATAAAAACTATTACCTCTAGTGGTGATTTAGACCTTTGATGCAGAATCGAAGGAGTGATCACGAGTGTTGCCGAAGAAAAACACATTTACTCAGTCCACACGAAAAGATCGCTTCCAATCTCAGTGCTAGCTGCTACGAATGAAAGCTTTGAGAGAGAGAGTGAGAGAAAATACGGCTAGCGTTTCACAGACCGAGTTTTCATCAAGTGTAAATGCTTCGGCACAAGTATTCTATTTATAGAACTACTTGTGTGTGTTGCAAGCTAAAAGCCCGTATATCACTTAAGCGCGTGGTATCTTACCATATTTTGTATTCCATTTAAGTGTATCGCACCTTACGGTGTTCTATAATTCACTTAAGTGCACCGTACCTTACGGTATTCCTTATTTACTCTACATTAACATGTCCTTATTGAAACAACTGGCTGAACAATCAACTGATAATGAAATCAATGAAGTCGACATCGAACGTTTTTTATCCCACGGGAGAGAAAAGACAAACATCTAGCAAACCTGAGAAGGGTGAAATCACGATCAAACGACCGAGAGATCGGGTAAGGGAGTCTGTTACACTAGGGAAAGGTATTAGCACCCCACACGCCCGTAGTATTCTACGGTATCCACTCTTGTTATTCTAATCAAAGGGTGTGTAAGAATCTATATCTATGCTTAAGGGAATGCATGTAAAAGAAAAAAGAGAAAATAATATAGGGAAAATAAAAAGTTGTGCTCGTTTGGACCCTACCCCAATGCCTATGTATCCCTTTTAAGGAATCAGAGCAGCCTTAGTTCGGCTCAAAAGTTTATGTTGGTTTGTATCTTTTAATGAATAATATTAATTTCGCCTTCTGTCGCAGCTCGACCTTTGAAGACTCAAGCGTCAGCATAAAAGTGAATTAACATATTCTTTTGAAAAAGTTTGAAAGAAAAGCCCGAAGGTCCAAAAGAGTTTGCATTGGTTGATTGCTTTTTACCTTAAAGAAGGATTTGGAAGTTGTTAGATGTTTAATGCTTTTTCAAGAAAAAGAGTTAGTCTTAATGTAAAGATGCAAAAGAAATAAAAACATCTAAGGGAGACTATCTGAATCTAATCCCTAATGTTATCATATAATTATTGATCCTAAAGTTGAGTTTTAAAGGAAAATCTCTACCCTATGTTAACATGCCTGAATACCCATCCTAATGTCTATATCAAATTGAAACAACGCGGCCGGAACCTGTCATCTGGATGTTAATGAAACATCAATGAAGTCGCCACCGAACGTCTTTTATCCCGCCGAAAGGGAAAGGTAAACATCGAGAAAACCTGAAAAGGGAGAAATCATGGTCTTTCGACTGAGAGATCGGTTAAGGGAGTCTGTTACGCGAGGGGAAGGTGTTAGCACCCCACGTGCCCGTAGTATTCTACGGTATCCACTCTTGTTGTCTAATCTAATGAGTGTGGTCAAATCCTATGTCTATGGCTTACAACTGAAAAGGGAATGCATGCGAAAGGAAAAAGAAAATAACGTAGGGAAAATAAAAAAATTGTTATGCTCGACTGTGCCCTACCCCAATGCCTACGTATCCCTTTTAAGGAATCAGAGCAGCCGTAGTTCGGCTTATATGTTTTGGTTGGTTTGTGTTTTTTAGTTAAGATAACAAAAACAGTCAAGATGGCAAAACATCAAATAAAACAATCAAACAAAATAGATGATAAAACATCGACTAAATAATAACAAAGTAACATGTCAAAGATGGCGAGACATCAAATAAAACAATCAAACAAAAGAGATGATAAAACATTGACTAAATAATAACAAAGTAACATGTCAAAGATGGCGAGACATCAAATGGTAAAATAACACACCTAACAGTGACATTGAGAGTCAAATTTAGATAATCAAACATGTGAGATGGCGAAACACCGGCTTCAAACAAATGTGCGATGGTGAAACATCGGCTAAGAGGTAACAAAGATATCATGGCAAAGATAATGAAACATCAACAAATTGGATGACAAAACATCACACTTAACAATGATATTGAGAATCAAAGTAGGATAACAAACATGTGCGATGACGAAACATCGGCTTCAAACAAATATGCGATGGCGAAGCATCATCTTAAAGATAACAAAAAATATCATGGAAAAGATGGCAAAACATCAACAAAACAGATGACAAAACATCACACCTAACAATGATATTGAGAATCAAAGTAGGATAACAAACATGTGCAATGACAAAACATCGGCTTTAAGATAACAAGATATCATGGAAAAGATGACGAAACATCAATAAAACGGATGAAAAAACATCATACCTAACAATGATATTGAGAATCAAAGTAGGATAACAAACATGCGCGATGGCGAAACATCGGCTAAAACAGGTTGAAAAACAAAACCAAGAGGCGCACAAACAAATAAGATTGATTTGTATCTTTTACCTTGAAGAAGGGTTTGAGTTTATTAGAAGTGTTTTATGATTTGCCAAGAAAACAGTTTTTGTTTTAAGATGCAAAATGCAAAGGGAGGAAAAAAAACAACTAAGGGAAACTAGCCTATCCCTATCCCTAGTGTTATCATACAATCGTTGACCCTAAGGTTGATGATAAAGGAAAATCCTACCCTATGTTAGCATACATGGATTCCTACCTTAATCAACATGTTAAAGGAAGCTTAACAGAATTATCCTATAGGGAACATGCAATGAGAGCGAAGTCGTGATCTCAATTTCTAAATTGAGTGACTCATTGATCAACAATTAAAGAAGAAAAGCAATAAATATCCTATAGGAAACATGCAATGAGAGCGAAGTCGTGATCTCAATTTCTAAATTGAGTGACTCATCGATCAACAATTAAAGAAGAAAAACAATAAACATCCTATAGGGAACATGCAATAAGAGAGAAGTCGTGATCTCAATTTCTAAATTAAATGACTCATCGATCAACAAGTAAACACAACACATGTATAAGACAAAAACCAGAGGGCCTCCTGACATATATCAGCAACAGAGGTCCCATCATGCAATCAGAGAACTATGGAAAATGAAAATGGGAGAAAGGAGATAGTGCAATACCAAACGGATAAATATCCGTTGCAACTGAGCAAGAATAAAAGAAACCCAGAGAACTTCGAGCAAGCTGGCATCATTAGACAAATCAAGTCAGGAATTACACCATCAGGATGTAAGTAATTTATCATATATGAACAAATCCCAGGGGCAATGTGTAACATTCACAATCAAATGCATATATCCTGCATGAAATATCAAATATGCCAAACACAATAGCAGTGCCAACATAATAAGATTCTTGTCTTGTTCTTGTTCTATTTTATTCCTCTATAAATGTATTTTTTGCAATGAATTGTGACATGATGGTACAAGATTCTTGTCTTGTTCTTGTTCCATTTTATTCCTCTATAAATACATGAAGTACTCAAGTGCAAAATGCACAAAATTTGCCTCTCAAGAACACACTCTAAATTTATCAAATTTTGTCAAAACTAGGGCAAACACAAACCCCTATTTCCGGCCACTCTAAAGCGGTTCCAAGCATTCTATCTCACTCCTGAAGGTTCCAGGAGCCTGTTCCAATCCTTACTCACGCTCAAGTGATCCCAATAAGTGCCAACCAAGTGGCTCTGGCTTGGTAATATTCTTCAATCTCAAACTTTTCATCCGTGCTATATAAATTAATTCTAAGCATATATATATATATATATATATATATATATATATATATATATATATATATATATATATATATATATATATATATATGTGTGTGTGTGTGTGTGTGTGTGTGTGTGTGTGTGTGTGTGTGTGTGTGTGTGTGTGTGTGTGTGTGTGTGTGTGTGTGTGTGTGTGTGTTTCTAATGATGTCTAGAACCGTTTGGAACCATCATTTTTTTAGATTTGATGCAGGAAGAACAATCCATCATTGTTAGGGCAACATTTCGATGAAGATTTGAATCCATAGTTGTGGTCACTTTTAGACCAAACTAACCTCACCACCAGATTCACAAGGTCCAAATTAGTGGATCTGAGTGGTTTAATTTTGTTGTTTGAATCTTTTTATCAATAATCAATTTTGACATCTTTTTAATTAAATT